AAAAAACCTTTTTTAGTCTTTAAAATAACGTCTTTAGAAGTTGGGTAAATAGTTGACCAAAGATCTGCCATATTAATTCTGGTAAAGTTTTCGTTGTCGTTAGTGATGTAAATTAGAGTATTGAAACTTTTGTTGCTTATTTCTTTCATTTTTAACGAGAAATTGTAGTGGGAATGATTATTGTTATTGTTTGAATTGATGTTTTGTTTTGTTGCGGAATTATTTACATGTAAATTTTTTGCAGTAGAGTTTTTTTGTTGTATGGAAATAGTTGAAGTACTTGCAGTTTTTTCGGGGATTATCTCGGGCTCTGCTGTCGTGTGTTTATGTTTTTTCCTAGCGGTGTTGTAGATGGGAGTGTCTCCATCAAATCCCAGTAGTTGTAGTTCTGGACTCACGCTTCGATCTCTTTTTCCTCTGTCTTTCACATTGCGGGCATTCTCGTCAGGATCAGATAAATCGTCCTCCTCGGATAACATATTAACGGTGAAACTTTAGTAAAATCGCGGGAACTCTTGACGCACAAGTGTACTGTTCAGTGGTCGCGAACGCAATGCCTTATAATAATATAAATTAATCAAATAAATATTTTTTTCAAAAAAATTAAAAAAAAAAAGTACCCATGGGTACTTTGTGCACAATGTAGGTCCTACATACTGTATTTTATTAAGAAAAATACCTGCACTGTCAACTCCACGAAGAGGATTGCTTTGATCTTAGCAATAGGCCGAGAAGCGATACATAAGATGGAATCTACCTCACCTTTTAAATAAATGTTGTACCCAAACTCAAGCGAGATATATCTAAAATGTGCTTAAACTGTTGAGTGATCGCTAAAACTGTACAAACAATGTGCTATAAAAAGGTGTAATATAAGCGTCATAAATGAGAAATATTAAAGCGTGCTAACAGTGTGTATAAAATGTGACATGCGTAAGATAGACTGAAGCTTTGCAAAATGTCTTTAAACAATGTACTAACACTGTGCAAACAATGTGCTAAAATATAATGTAATATAAGCGTGACATATGACAAATAAAAAGCGTGATGTCAATGTACATAAAGAGTGAAAAAACTTAATTATTTCAAAAAGCGTGAAATTACCACAAAGTAGGTAAGATTATACCTCGAACTGAATTCATAAGGAGTAGAAACTAATTTACAGGGTATACGAAAAAGATAACGAAATTTGTATTTATTAATTTATAAAAAATAATACATTTAATAACTTGTATTGCCCCCCCTAGCCCTGATTACTGCTTGACATCTTCTTGGCATACTTGAAATTAGGTTTCTGATTTCGTCTTGATCAATTTGATCCCATATTTCCGTAAGCCTCAAAGACAGTTCATTTAAGTTTCTAGGTGGAACCTGTAAGGCTCTAACCTGCCGACCCATGTTGTCCCATAAGTGCTCTATCGGGTTTGGATCGGGACTTCGTGCTGGCCAAGCCAAAGTTTCAATTTCCACTTCCTGAAGGTAATCTTGCACAATTCCAGCTATGTGTGGACGAGCATTATCGTGCATTAATAACATTTCCTCCCCAATAAAGGGGGCATATGGTACCACATGGGGTTCTAAAATGTCTGTTATGTACCGGTCAGCTGTCAAGCGACCGCCTTCAAGCACAACTAACTCGGTGCGAGCCATCAAACTAATGCCACCCCATACCATAACAGATCCACCTCCATAGCTGACGGTTCCAACAATGTTGCATTGTGCGTATCGCTCGCCAGGACGTCGATATACTCTTCTACGGTGATCATCACTAAACAGACAAAATCTGGACTCATCGGTAAACAGTACATTGCTCCATTCACGGTCTTGCCAATTTTGGTGTTCCTGAGCAAACAGACGGCGTTGCCTTCGATGGTATACGGTTAGTAGGGGACCAGTTGCAGCGACATGGGGAGTTACATTGATTTCTGCTAACCTTCTTCGCACTGTATCTTGACTAATATGGTAATTATACCGACGAGAAAATTCCTGCTGGAGTGCAGTGCTTGTTGTGAATCGATTTCGTAGCGCCTGCAGTCGCAAAAATCGATCTTGATTATCCGTTGTCACCCTTTGTCGTCCTTGTCCAGCTCTTCTTTGGTTACTTCCAGTCTCCCGATACCGCGTTAGTGCTCTAGAGATCGCAGAGTGTGACACTCCAAATCGTAATGCCACTTGAACTTGTGGCAAGCCAGTTTCCACAAGTGCTATGGCAGCAGCACATTCTTCAGGCGAAAGATTTCTTATCTCACGTACGTTTTGCGCCATTTCGTTTTCAAACACTCTTTATAACGTTGGAACTTTGCAATACGAGCATACACAAGAAACTAAACAGAGATATTCAATAATTTAACTTAGCAGGGAATGCGTTTTTAAAGACTTTTTTCAATATTGTATAAAAAACTGTTGTTTTTATGTTCTCATCTAAAAAAAAACAATTAAAAAAGTTAGAATATATCCTAAAGAAACCATTTCACACCATTGGCGTTCATTGTAAATATTTTCTTGGAAACATTTTTGCATTTTAACAATTATGCGTTAATTTTGCGGTGCAGTGTATTTATCTTGTTCAATTTCCTCTTGGACCTGTTGTGTTCCACAAATCGTAACGCATAGGTGTTTCCTTTTTCTATGTGTCTTGGTTCGCCCGATCAGAATTTATGTAATTACACGTGATCCTTTTCCCATTCTTCTCTTATTGGGCATATTATATTCCACCTATAGTCTTTTACGTGTATTTTCTGATTTAGTATAGCATTTGCGAAATGTCCAACTCGCTCACATTTAAAGCATTTTGCGTCTCTAGCCGGGCACCTCGAATCATTTCCTTGATGTTGTATCTTCCCACACCTCGAGCATGGAGTGTTGTTAGGTTTCTTGATTAATATTCTGTTTATCGATGTAGATTTGGAAGGAGTTGCGACAGTTCCCGTGTCCATTATTTTTGTCTGGTCCTTGATCTTCTCGTGGATCTGGCATAGGTCTATTACTTTCGATAGAGACCTCTCTTTTTCCAGAAGTTTGGTTTTTAGGTCAGCGGAAGCCCAGTCATCAATCAATTTGTTCTTGATGTTTATCTCCGACGCTTCTTTCTCTGACTTGCCAAAAGAGTACTTCGTTGCCTGTTGCCTAAGTAGGTATTTGTTAAGATACTCTTCCCCTTCCGGTTTTAATGTTCTAAACGAATGACGTTTAAAAGTAAAGTTTTGAACAGGTGAAAAGTAATTGGTTAATTTCTCAACTAAAACTTGAAAAATGTCAAAAATGTCAAAGGCTTTGTTATCTATGATGTCAACCCTACTTTCAGTATTTAAATCAACCATTGCTCCATGGAGGGATATTGTACCCAACTTTTTGTTACTGTGTGCCTCCAAGATGTAACAGTTTATTTTCTCTTGCTTTGATTTGTTATTTCCTCTGCATCCAAATAAAGACGAAGAGAACGTATCCATTTTTCCCATTCATTTCTGATGGAAGCCTTATCGATGTCGTCACATCGGAATGGTTTAATTTCTGATGATTCGCTCATGATCAACTAAGTAAAGTTGACCATAACTAGACATAACTAGACATAGGTACAGCTAAAAAAATAATATTCAAAAGTTTCTGCTCATATGAAACACACCTTTTGTTACTCTATGTAACAAGTATGAAATAAAAAGTTGGAACTATTTTTTTATTTATTTTTTTTCAGGATTTCCCTACGCCCTTTTTGTATATCAGAATTTAACCCCATCCACTTTTATCAGGATATTTCGCTTCTGAGGAAATTTTTACGCGATTAAATTGCTGACCTATTTAAGCTCGTGCATTTTGGGTATTTCCAACAGCTCTTGTTTAAATATTTTATTTTGACTTAAATAAAATATCTAATACATCTAATAGTAAGAGTGATGTACAAGAAACGGAAGACGTTTATTGCAGACCTCCAAAAAGACTGAAAAGTGCTGACTTCAAACAGAATTACAAAAAAGATTGGGAGAAAGGGTGAAAGTGGGTCCAGGCAAGTATGAACCATATCTATAGATGATCACGAACATGCCAAAATAAGTATTTCAGTCAGGGGCGTAGCTACCGCGGTATCAACCGTATCAATGATACGGGGCCCCCGGCTAGGGGGGCTCCCAATTGGCTTCGACATGCGTAAGCAAAAAACATATTTCCCACATGTGGGAAATATGCCTTTTAAAAAGATTTTGGCATGAAATTAAATAAATAATATTAATATTTAATTGTTTATACGATTTATTGAATTAAAATTTTCCTGAATACCCTCCTGTTCCAACGAGGCCGTGAACTCATACGATTTGTTTCTGCCCGCACCTTTCCGCTATGCGTTGCATGCGGCGAAGTTTGCGCTTATTGTTCTGTGCTCTGCGCGCATACTGAGTCTGCTTAAGCAGACTATGATAATAACACGCAAAGCGTGTACATAAAAAGCTATGTATACAGGTATTTCGTTTTAGCATTGTAGGGCGGTATCACAGAACACTGTGGGCAGTATTCTCTAAATATGTGACTATTTTTCATAGACATTACTGCTCTACATGTAGGCTACAACCATTGATTAAGGTACTCCACTCGATGCTAAAATGCAGTTCCCATATCCAATGTAAGTAATAAAGATTATTTTTATTCTTTTAAACTATAAAAATTATCTTTTGTCTATTATTATTTCAAGTAATACTTAAATTACTCAATTTTAGCGTTGTAGGGCAGAATATATCTATTCTATTTCCTTTTAGAATTGCTGTATAGGCAACTAAGATTACCCATAGGCAGAATTTTTTTCTGATGTTGCCATCTTGCGATTCACAAGTTATGACCTCTGTGTGGCTGTCATGTGGCTGTCATATTTTGGGCTGTGTGTATTGACGTTTTTATTTAATTAATTTAAGTTTACAGTGAAATTACTTAATCCGCAAGAAAATATAAAATTAGAAAGGGTAATTATATAAAACAAAGTTGATTTTATTACTCGAACGTTTGTATTTTGCTTGCAGATGCAATTTATGTTGTTATTTAGCCGACAAGGCAAATTACGTTTACAAAAATGGTACAATGCTCATCCAGACAAACTAAAGAAAAAAATTACGAGGGAGTTAATCACAACGATTTTGGCTAGAAAACCGAAAATGTGCAGCTTTTTGGAATGGAGGGACCTAAAAATTGTCTACAAAAGGTAAATTAGGTTACAGACTACAGTGTTCGTACATAACAGATTTTTAACAAATGTTTATTGATTTCAGATATGCCAGTTTGTATTTCTGTTGTGCAATTGAGCAAGATGATAATGAGCTCCTAACATTGGAAATTATACATCGATATGTTGAACTGTTGGATAAATATTTTGGAAGTGTAAGTAGACAATTTTTTGAGGTAATATTTAAATATTTACTTTTGATGGTTATGTTACAGGTGTGTGAGTTGGATATCATTTTTAACTTTGAAAAGGCCTATTTTATACTTGATGAACTACTGCTTGGAGGTGAGATACAAGAAACCAGTAAGAAGAACGTCTTAAAGGCAATAGCTGCTCAGGATTTGTTACAAGAGGTTAGTCATGGAAATATAGAACTTTAACATTAAATTTATTTTATATTAGCTAATATCTAAAATTATAATGTCATGCAAAATGAAAGTATTTTTATGTTTCCAGACTCGAGAGGAAGTTTCAGATGATTTTTTAAATTAAATTAGGTATTTTTATAGTTTTTGTGTGTTTTTATACTAAAACCAGGAGATTTTGATGATTTTAATGACCATAATCAAACTTTTTTACTGATATTTTATAAATGCATGAAATTTTAATTCAAAAGATGTTGGCTAATAAGTTTGTTGTACTTGAATATGTTGCACTGTCGTTGTACTTATCACTCCTTGCTTAAAGTTTACATATATGTCTTGTTACCTATTTATTTCCATTTCGTGCACACCAAGGATTTAAACGACAGTTGAGCGCCAGTATGCAATAAATGTTTATTAAGTAATGCCAATATTTCTATAATAGTAAATATGAATGTTTTTATTGACGGCTTTTAATGTTCCATTAATTGTTTAACTTAAGTCATATTTTTTGGAATCGATTAAAGTAACAAAATAACATCGTTTTGATTAAACAAGATTTTATTTTATTTCTTTAATATAATTATTTTGTTTTGGTTTAAGTAAAAGCTAATATTAATCCAGTGAAGCTCTAGTATTTTAATGTATTTTTAACTGGTGATTATTTAAAATATATTTTGGACTAAATTGCATGTAGTTATTACTAAAATTATAATTATTAACAAACTGTGTTATAAAAATATTATTAATAGCATGATTGCATGTAATTTTACATAATATTATATTAACCTGAATAATTTTTGGTGCCAGTTTGTTGTATTTCCATGAAGACTGTTTTAGTTTTCTATCAAAAATGCTTTTTTACTTAAACTGTTATTTATTCAAGAGTTTATAATGTAATTTATTACTCAGCTATATGTATATTTCAAATGCAAAATATCTTGACAATTTGTGAATTTAGACAATAACGCCCATATTTGCCATACTATAAAGTTTATATTAGTGATATTAAATTGCCTATTTATAACTTAAGACGACTGTGTGAAGAAAACCAAATATATTAGTTACCTATTTTGTTTATAGGGCATTAAATGCGTATATATGTATACAAAAATTAATAAAACGATTATATCAATAACCATTGTTTGAATTGTACAACCAGATATCAAAGTGTACTTATAATTTTTCATTTAATTTCAAAATTTATATAATTAAAAAGTGCTTAAGCTTTCTTTTGTGTGTATATTCTCCATATTTATATACCTATGTTCCTTTTCATAAAAATATATTTTTTGCAAATTAAATAATTAATATTTCACGCATTTAATTTGTTAACAAATCTTCAATAAATACATATTTGCATGGTATGGTTACATAAAGCTAAAAATAAAACATATATGCTAACATTTAACATTTTTATGGAATGGTAACATTAGACTGTAGTTGTAAGTATAGTTTAGAATGTAGTTAGTAGTATCTCTAAATTCTTTCTTAAGGATGAAGCAGTGGAAGGTGCTTTACGGGACATTGGTATGCTGTAACCACTTGCAACTTCAGGGATTTGTTAAACGTCCAAACTTAAGAAGATTCCTTCCGTTAATAACTATTCCACTTCCGTATTTAATCTTGCCAATTATAATTTATGTTTGTAGTTTTTGTACTGTTTTTAGTTAACAAACATTATATTCACTTGTATTAAAGTTCTTAAATAGACCATGCCTTATAATTTTTATACTTTTAAATTTAGTTATCTGTTTTTTTAAGTTACCTACAAACTTAGCGAACGCATGTTCACGTTTGCTTTCAAATCTTAATTAATTGATGAAGAAGGTAGATATTAATAAATATACACTTCCCGTCAAAATTAACGCATAATAAGAAAAAAATTCTAACTCTAAAACGCCTTTACCAATGTTTATGAAATTTTGAATAAAAATACTTCAGCTTATATCTCAGTTTACGTGTTCAAGGGTTTTTAGAAAAAATATCCTTAAAGCCCTTTTATTTAATAATAAAAAACGCTCGAAAAAAAACTTATAAGGAATTTTTTTTGTAAATAAAAACTATTTTTTGAAAGACCGTATTTTGTAAGTATACCCTGAAAATGTTGTAAAAATCAAACGAACAGTAACGAAAATACAGCGCTTCAAAGTAGTCAAAAATGACCATTTTTCAGCAATATAATCAAAAAGGGGTCATTTTTACCGACTTTGACGCGCTGTATCTTCGTTACTTTTCGTTTGATTTGTACAAAATTTTCAGGGTATACTAACAAAAATACGGTCTTTAACAGCATAATTTTTATTTAGTTAAAAAAAATTTCCTAAAAGTTATTTTTGGAACGTTTTTTTATTATTAAATAAAAGTGCTTTAAAAATATTTTCTCGAAAAACCCTCGAACACGTAAACTGAGATATAAGTATTTTTATACAAAATTACATAAATATTGGTAAAGGGGTTTTAGAGTTAATTTTTTTTTTACTTATTATGCGTTAATTTTGACGGGCAGTGTATATATATATTTTTGTTACTGATTATTATTCTACCATTAATGTACATACTTGTGTTTATGTGTTTCATTAATTTTTTATCCATTCTCTATGACTTCTATTCCATGTGAAGGACAACATTTCGCAAAATTTATTTCTTATATAAAACTTAATTTCTGTAAAGTTAACCAAATAGTATAAGTTATCCAATGTTACAAACTATTTGCTATACAGGGCTTTACACAAGGCAAAATGGAAGGCTATTTTACGTATACAAAATTACAATATGCTTATATTATGGTGGCAATATTTTCTCGACTTTTTTTTGAGCTCACATGAAAAAATGTAAGTTTGAAAGTCCTCTCCAAGTATAAACTTAAACAAACATTTTGTAAAGGTTTCCCAAGAATGTTTTAAATTTTGAATATAAACTAAAACATTTTTTTTCTCAACATCTTTGGTCCCTCACTAGTTCAATTTTTTTTCTAGGTAGTATAGGAACATACCAAAATTTGAAGTCAAAATATTAATATTTTAGGGTAGCTCAATATTTTTAAAAATAAATTTTTCGAATTTTGTGTTTATTTTGAGCAATCTAAATATTAATATTTTGACTTCAAAGTTTAGTATACGACCTACATTAAAAATATTGAACTGGTGAGGTGTCAAAGATTTTAAGGGTTTTTGAAATGTTTTCATGAGAGCTCCAAAAAAATATTGACACCCTAATTAATATATGAAGTAAACTTATATTATAATATACATATTGTTACGTTTTTAACTGTTCGTAGTGTGAATAAAAACACGCACTGGTTAATTAACGAACTAAAGTATTTATTTTTAACTTAACTACACTTAAACCACTATAAAACTAACTAAACACTTAACTACTAATTATTTATATTTCACTACTGTTTAAGAGTCTATTTATTTTCACGTATATTTATTTATTTCGACGCGAGTACCAAAACTGGACTAACTGCCGTGTGCTGCTCCGTTTCTTATATATTCAGCGCCAAGGTCTTCTGGAACATTCCAGCGAGCTCCACACTCTCGATTGTTCGAGCGCTGAGTCACCGGCGATGACTAACCGGCGATGAGTCATCACTCCGATATCCAGGGCGGTACTCGCTACATTGCCCCCGTCTTAAAACATTTTCGTCCCGAAAATGGTCCTCAGCTCCATGGCGATATTTGCATAGAGATCCAAACTTGCATTGTGACGTCCTATAGAAGTAGCAGTCTACGGTCTTCCTTTCGGTTGTTCTTTTAGGGTTGTGGCAACAGACAAGAATGTGTATGCCACTAAATCTGAAGATAACTTCCACCATACTTCTAATTATTCTCCAGTCTAAGCCGTCAAGTCCACAAGCAATCTTCGGTATCGCCAGGTTCATGATGTCCTTGGACAAAAGGATATCCCTCAATTTATTTAAGGCATTCCATACGTCACGGTAATTTGGCTTCTGATTGGAGAGTTGCTTCGTTACCAGATAGAAGATACTTCGGTTACCTATCTGCTCATTATCCACCATTTCAAGCACCTCTCCAACTTTGGGACTCTGCCTTCGTAGCTCGTCGACCCGTCCAAACTTGTTTTTAAAGACAACCGCTATTCCCCTGGACATCCTAAGGTCTTCCGCAACACAGTGAGCCAGGGAGTAATCGGCCGAAACCGTGAACAGATCTTTTTGCTCTTCTCGAGTGACACCATACCGAGCTTTTTTACCGCTCGAATATAAATACATGAAGTCTTCAAAAGGCAAGTCGTCTTCCGGCGGATTAACTCTCCTTACTCTAGCATCGTCTATTTGAGCATTGTTTCCAGCGTAAGGGGCCAATCGGTTGAAATGGATCACTTTCGGCTTTCCTCTTGGTTGTTTCCTGATCCTGTAGATGATGTCATTTATGCGATCCATGACTTCGTATGGTCCTTCCCAAGAAGTCTGCAGCTTCGGTGAATAACCACGACGGCGCTGAGGGTTGTATAACCAAACTAGGTCTCCAGGTTGAAATCCTCCATTTTCCGCCTTGATGTCGTATGCCTCTTTCATTCTATCACTGGCGCTCTGGATGTTTAAACGAACTCGGCTGTGAATGTCGCTCATTTTCCTACGTAAATTGTTGACGTAATCTTCTCCAGCAATATCATCCCCTGGTAGGCAACCAAACCTCAGGTCACAAGGTAGACGAAGTTCACCATAACAATGCTAGCGGGTGTCTGGCCGGTTGTATCGTGGATAGAAGAACGGTACGCCAACAGGAACAGATGAAGAAAGCGGTCCCAGTCTCTTTGGTGATCAGAGACTACCTTGGACAGGTACCGGTTTATCGTTCGATTCATTCGTTCTACCATTCCATCGGACTGCGGATGTAATGCAGTCGTCCTCGTCTTCCGAATGTTAAGAATCTTACAGACATTCTGGAACAATATAGATTCAAAGTTCCTGCCTTGGTCTGAATGCATCTCCATTGGCACACCAAAACGACAAATCCACTCCTTAATAAGGGCATCGGCCACTGTGGCAGCTTCCTGGTTTGGCAAGGCGTACGCTTCCGCCCACTTGCTGAAGTAGTCCATTACAACGATGATGTATTTATTTCCAGATTCTGTTTCCGGAAATGGACCCGCCACGTCGATTGCAATTCTCTCAAATGGGCTGCCCACATTGTACTGTCGCATTGGGGCTTTTGGGCGCTTCTGGGGTCCATTGCTTGCCGCGCAAACGGCGCACTTCTTGCACCATTCCTTCACATCTCGTTGGCTGTTGACCCAATAAAACCGTTCCCTAAGTCTTCCGAGCGTCCTGGTCACCCCAAGATGTCCTCCAGTAGTTCCATCATGGATTGCCTGCAGCACTTCTGGTATCCTGTTTCTGGGGATTATTATCTGCTTCCGGTCTTCCCCCCCTTCTGGCATCTCCAAAACGCGCTTTAGAAGCCCGTCACTTAAGATGATGGAATTCCATTGGGCCCAGTACGATTTCACATTCGGCGAATATTGGGCGACTTCCTGCCACGTTGGTTTATGGTCGTTCTTTTTCCAATCGATGATGAGCTTCAAATCCGGGTCCCTTTCCTGGTCTTGTTGAACCTCAGCGGATTGCCAATGATCATCTACGAATGTAGTCCTGCGAATATACACATCCTTTTCTTCGGCCCTATTTATTTTTCTAAATGAAGTCGGCGCCACCTGACTTCCTCTGCAACTACTTTGTATATGTCCCAGCTTTCCACATCTCCAACACCGGATTTCCTTCTTCTCTGGTAGATTCTCTTTAAAAACTCGCCTGATTGCTTCAATTATTCTGGGTTCCTCCTCTTTCTCTTCCTCGACTCTCCTTATTCTAGGCTGGCCCCTACAGCTCTGCTTTGCCGCCTCGAATTCCAAAGCTCGAGCCAATGCATCAACCAGTTGGCTCGGACGAGCCAGTGTTAGAGCCTGTCTTGTTTCGTTGTCTCGAAGTCCATCCAAAAAGGCTTGAACCGCTAATCGTTCCATAACGGTCGTTGGAGTAGCTGGATATGCTAGCCGAACCAAGCGTGCAATATCAGCCTCGAATTCTTGTAAAGTCTCGTTTGATTTCTGGCAGCGATTCTTCAGTTGGGAATGGTACACATGTTCCAGATGTGTCTGGCCATATCGAAGTTCTAGATGTTTCACCAACGCTTCGTAATCTTCTTGTTCGTTGGGAGAAAGCGTCTGCAAGATGTCCGTTGCATCTCCGCGTAAAGCCAGAGTCAATGCTGTAGCTTTCTCTTCTGGTAGCCAGCCATTTGCTTTTGCTGCTGCCTCAAACTGACGGATGTAGTTGGTCCAAGAAGTTTTTCCATCGAACTGAGGTGGTTTCATACGAACTCGGCTTCCCTCCGGCATTGTTCCTGGTTCCGCCAGTATCATGGGTAGATTTACAGCTGTCAGTTTACTATTTATTTCTTTAATTTTGACTTCCAATTTCTCATTTAATTCCGTCCTTATGTCGTCAACTTTCTGCACAACTTTCTCTTCTAATTCCATCCTTACGTCGTCAACTTTTTGTCCCACTTTTTCTTCTAATTCATTGACATTATCTAGAATCTTCTGTTCCAAATATTCTTTTTAGAATTTTCCAGAATTTTCTGCTGTAATTCGTTAGAATTTTCCAGCATTTTCTGTTGTAAATCGACTTTTAAATCGCTAGAATGTTCTACCATTTTCTGTTGCAAATCATCCTTTAAATCGTTGACATTTTCCAGAATCTTTTGTTGTAAATCGACTTTTAATTCGCTAGAATTTTCTAGCATTTTCTCGTTTAAATTTTGCAACATTAACTGCATATCACACGGGCCTTCAAATAAATACGTATCTGGATTTTCACCTTCCTGCTCCAACGCTTCTCGAAGCCGCTGCTGCAACACATTCTTTTTTCCAGTGGTCTCACATTCCCTTTCTTCCAGCTCCCGCTTAAGGTCCGCCACTTTTAAGTCCATTAACGAAACCATTTTCGCGAAGTTTCACACTAACCGCACTCCTGACACCAATTGTAACGTTTTTAACTGTTCGTAGTGTGAATAAAAACACGCACTGGTTAATTAACGAACTAAAGTATTTATTTTTAACTTAACTACACTTAAAACACTATAAAACTAACTAAACACTTAACTACTAATTATTTATATTTCACTACTGTTTAAGAGTCTATTTATTTTCACGTATATTTATTTATTTCGACGCGAGTACCAAAACTGACTAACTGACTAACTGACTAACTAACTGACTAACTGCCGTGTGCTGCTCCGTTTCTTATATATTCAGCGCCAAGGTCTTCTGGAACATTCCAGCGAGCTCCACACTCTCGATTGTTCGAGCGCTGAGTCACCGGCGATGACTCATCGGCGATGACTAACCGGCGATGAGTCATCACTCCGATATCCAGGGCGGTACTCGCTACAATATAAATAAAAATGTATTATAGTAACGTAAACGAAAAATCTACGTATAGTAGTACAAAACACAAGGCTACTATGTAAGTTTTAAGAGTAAATTTTTAAGAATTCATATAAGCGATTTAAAAAAAAAAAATCCACGCGCGGCACTGGATTCACACAAAACGACCCTTTACTAAATTTTATTGAAAAATTTTAAGTAGAAAAATGCACAATAATAAGTACAAACATTTATTCAGTCAAGTTATCCATGAAAAAAACATTAAAATAAAATTAAACTTATAGTAATAGTACCATGTTACTATTAATTTAATTTTATTTTAATGTTTTTTTTTCATGGATAACTTGAATGAATAAATTTTTGTACTTATTATTGTCCATTTTTCTACTTAAAATTTTTCAATAAAATTTAGTAAAGGGTCGTTTTAAAGGAGAAATACAGTGAATCCTGTGTCGTGCTTAGATTTTGTTTAAAAAATCGCTAATATGAATTCTTAAAAATTTACTCTTAAAAACTGACATCGTACGCCTTGTATTTTGTAAAAATATGACGCTTTTTGCTTAAAAAATACAGTTGATCAAGATCTACACATTAAAACAAATCCGGTTAAAATCGCATAATAAATAAAGATTTTACAGGGGTGAGTCGCAAACAAATGGGTCACACTGTATATATATATATATATATATATATATATTTACAGGGTGTCCCATAATTTTTGTGCAATAATATCTCCAATGCCGTTCAAGATAGAAACGTGAAATTTTGAGAATTAATCAAACTTTTTATAGCCAAGATGTAATATCATTTTTTTCCTAATTTTGTACGTAGAATCTGCTGTTAAAGTATTGCACGCTAATTATGGGACACCCTGTATATATAACGCGATCCAAGAATAACGCTCAACTTTAAAAATGTCAATTTTTAGATGAATAAATGATATCTAAACCTTTGGAAATATCGTTTAAAATATTGATAATCTTGAAAATCATTTTTTTGTTCATACATTTTTTAACAACAAATTTTAAATCGTTTTATATAAATAATAGATTTACAACATTAAAATAGGTAACCAAAAAAAATTCAATTGTCCTTTATATTATTAGTAATATTTTATAAATTTTTCAAGTAAAAAGTTTAAAGCCATTTCACAGTAGGTTTTTTAAAAATTTAAATTGCATAAAGAAACTCTTTTTTTAAATATGGGTAAATTATAACTTCCCTAAACAATGATTGTTTTATCGTAAAGTATAATTCATTCTATTGCATTTTTTGAGTCATTCGGGCGACAAAATAAATCAAAATCTATTTAAAATGATAAAATATATATACAATTTTAAGATGCTCACTTGACATTATATTAACAAATTTTAACATTTTTACAACAATTTTAAAATTATATAGACGAATAAATCATCTAAAATTATATATCAAAAACTTCTCCAAAATAAACGTTTGTAATTTTTGTATACTTAAAAAACTTCTATTATGTGCCTTGTGGGGGATAATAGCTAGGGTAACTAAAAATTATTTATCATATTGAATTTATTTATATGTATATGTTCTAATTATAAAGTAGTAGTATTTTTGCCTAATATGATGGATATATCATAAATATAAACATATAAAAATATCTGATATCGCGTTAACATTTTGTGCTTATTTTATTATAATTTAAGCGGGACCAAAAAGTATTTTATTTTAAAATTGTATAAAAACCATTATGCTGGTTATAATAGTTTTTTTGGAAATTAATTTAATGTAATTATAATTTAATGAATAATAATTTAACTGTACAGCAAATAACATCATTTATAAAGCTTTTGATATTTTTTACAATAGTACGAGTATACAGAAAAATATTGAAATTGTTGCAAATTAATGTTTTTATTGTAAATTTTACATACACTGACCATTTACTTAAATGTTTTTTATAAAATTCTTTATACTATACATAATATTTTCTTACAGGGTTTAAATGTGTTTAAACGTTTTTAATATATTTTACTTGACATACACAACATGCACAATTTTATTAACACCTTTCCCAAGTAAAAATAAATAAAAAAACATATCTTAAACATTGCCTTAATAAAGACACTAATTTCTTCTTTGTGAGTTTGGGTTAATATTTGGTAAATAATTGGTATTTAAAAGTATTTAGGTAGTTATAATCAATGATAATATCTTTGGTTATAATTAATAATGGGCATTTACATATATGATATGTTTGTTTAAGTATTTGTAGTTTTGTTTAGTAGCGGTGATTGGATATTTGTATTTAAAATAGTTAGTCAATATGAAAGTGGATCCACCTTGGCATGTTTTAGGTACGTTAAAATAAATTACTAATATTGTTATTAAATACTGTTATTATATTTTATATTGATCTATCCATCCACATTCATATTGATATTGATGTACTTTAGTTAACGTTACCTTTTATTGTTTTAGGAGGAAACCCCCCAAGGATTTTTTGATGACCACGGGCTCGGCTAATTTAAAAATAGTTATTTGAAATGTCAGTCTGTTATTTTTAATATATATTCTATAGACCCAGGCGCTTATGTAGGTAACAAATTAAAGTATGCTTTTTATACTTTTTTTTAATGAAATATTGTTTTTGTGTTAGTTAAATTTGCTTTCTATAGATCTGATCCATTATTCCAGAATAAGTCCGGAATTTAGTTATTTATGAGATTTTTATTCAGTATTTAATTTGCGGGTTGTGCAAAGTACTTAAAACTAGAATTTTAGGCTTATTACTTATTAGTTAGTTAAAAATTAATTGCTCAAACAAAAACAAAAAATTAGGTGTTATTAAAAGAAAAATACATTCCATATTGACTTTACCAAATTTTATTTAAGGTTACTTTGTTAAATACTAAACATTTAATTATTTAAAGGCCCATAAAATATGTCACACCTTTAAGAGACAGTTAAGGGGCACCATTAAAGTCTGACATGTTTTATGAACGACCCCTTATAGATAAATAGCTAAATAAACAGTGCTTTATTTAAGATGTTAATCATGACAATCTTAAAATACATGAAAAGGTAAAAATTTTGTGATAGCACAATTAAAAAGTATACCAAAAATTTTGTTTTATTTAATTTTAAGTTAAAAGGCAGTTTTTTCTTAAATTGATAGGACAATTTTTCATAAGACTAAAATTAATGACCCAACAATTTGATTTGATGACAATTTGCTCGTGCGCGTTTAAAAGGAGACAACTCAATAATTATTTATTTTAACCATGCATTGTTACGAAAAGTTAGTGATTTAATTTGTTTTTCTTTTAAAAAACGATTATCATGTACCTACGGCAGAATGACTGATTTTTCACATAATGATTATTGAGTTGTCTCCTTTTACACGCACGAGCGAATTAACAAAATTCATTTAAAACATATGCTTAGATATGATTTAAAGTTTTAAACTAAGAATTATAAATTATTTATATTTTCTGTGTATTTGAGACTTCCTACATATTCTGGGATATAGGTAAAAAGTTATCATGAATATTTCAAAACTGAATAATTTTATACATATATCGGTATAAATGAAAAATATATTTGTAATGTGTTAAACCGTAAATTTTTATTAGCATCACTACCGTCACGGTAGTACCGTGTAAATGTTGGGGGTTTTAAGAACGCAAAAGGGAGGGGCGGAAAAAGGCATAGAATTTTTTTTTATTGGATAATAATTATGAACGTCTTGTGTTATCTTTTAAAACAAATCTACAATCCACAATGATCAGAAAAATTTATTTTTGTTCTGGAAACAGCCCTGAGATACGTGCAAATTCACAATGAGAATATTTTATTTTATAGATCTGAGATAAACATTATGAGTATGAGTATAAGAGTCGTATAACCGGCCCCATGTCACATCCCACCCGGGCCCCGCACAGGCCTCTGTTTCCTTACGCCGATTTTCTTTCGCTACCAGCAAAGGCACGGCTTCACCCGTGTTTGCTGGGTGCAAATGTCCATTGCGTCCCGTACTGTCCCCTATTTAGGGCTCCAGAGCAAAATGCCAAAAGTTTAAATAGCCATTCCCGGGTTCGCCGGGCCGATGCTACACGTCCAGTAGGGTCATGAAGGAGGTAGGACGGGAGACATTTTGGTGTATTAGGATGGAATTAAGATGATCATAAAATAATATATTTAACATAATAAGATCATGTATTTGCCATATATGTATCAATTTAGGATCATATTAAGATGGCATAAGAAGATATTAAGATGATTCTAAAAAAATATATTAACGCTTATAAGATATATATTAATTGCCGATATAAAAACGTTTGATGGTCTTATGATAATTGTATTAAGTTTGCCTATTGATGTCCCCTACTTTACTGGATATCTTAAATAAGGTTATGAATCTTAAAGTCTTTAAAATATGGTCTTAAATTATTTTTCTCGGTGCCATGGCATATCGAGGTACTGTATATAAACCTATGTAGAAATTTCCCAAAACGCACTTAGAAAAATGTACATGCACTGATAATGAAACTAATTTTGTAAGCGATTAATAAAATAATATTATTTAACTTAAATATAAAATTCTAATGGCTTTAAAAAAATGTACCACCTAAGGTACCTTTTTAATTAAATTTTCAGTGTCTTATTAGGACAAAAACCTACGATTTGTCAAAGTAATGAGCAAGGACCGGATTTTAGGCAAAATACCTTTTCGTTTCTATTTCAGGCACTTGTTTGGGACCTTGATATTAATCCTAAACTTAAAAAAATAAAGCGTTTGACACCCTTTGTTTTTGCCTAAAAGCCTAAAATGGTGAAATTTTGATTTAGGGTCCTAAAAGGAAATTTTTATAAGCCTAAAATAGGCTCTTTTAATTTTTCAGAAAAAATATATTTTTCAATGCGAAAAATTAAATTATTTTTAATTAGGCCCTGCTTTCTTGCTCTTATTTCGCCTAGACGGCCTTGGCGAGTACGAGGACCACAAATTGTTATATCTAAATATTTATTATAAATAATTATGGATAATATTAAGTTTGTAAAATAATGCTTAAACATTATTATTTACTTTGTTTTCATAGGTTTTATTGTAATTTCCATATATGTATTACGTTGTGTTAACCTGTTCTGTTTGTTTATTATTGTTTATGTGTTGCGTTAATTTGTTATGTTTGTGTTTTAGTTTGTGTCATCCATGTGCATTTATTAAAATGCGGTGTGGCATATTTGGATGCAAGAAAAACCCTTTAAATAAAAACACGGGCTGGATGCTCCCGTGGACGAGTTTTGGTTCGTGCCGCGCATGACGTCACTTGATGAGTAGTTGCCGTGCGAATACACGAATAATAGTAATATTATCAAAGAAAATAGAGAAATATCTGGACATAGTGCGTTTTTATTAAACTTAATATTAAAGAAAGTGTTATAATATGGATAATAGATTCTTTCAGTCCTTGATAACATTTAGGAGTGTATTTTAAGAGTTAGTATTTTAAATTAAACTTATAGTCACTGTCCAGAAAATGATTAGAGGAAACAGAAGCGGTCTTAACGTTAATATTGCCTATTCTTTTTATGGCATTTAACCACTGTTTGCAAAAATCAAAGTTTTTCGGGGATCGATGAAATTTGTTTTTATTTCAAGGGTTTTTCTTGGACTGGTTGTCCAATTTGCATACAAATATGCCACACCGCGTTTTAATAAATGCAAATGGCCCGACACAAACTAAAACACAAACAAATCAAGTTTCAACGCAACACAAAAACAAAAATAAACAAACAGAACAGGTTAACACAACGCAATAACAATAATTTGAACAATGAAAAGTAATTCGAACCTCACTAAATGCAAAAACAATAAGTTACAAAAAAAAATAAAGCACCCTAGTAGCAATGGAATTGGACAAGATTCTTTGTCAAGATACTTGGAAAAGCACTTTGTAAAGAATTGGACAATTCTTGACCAAGACTCTTGATCAAAATTCTTTATCCAGACTGGTGCCAGACTTGCGACAAGTCTGTGACCAGAATTCGACCAGATTCTTGGCCAAGAATTTTGACGTATACGTCAAAATAACCATAAATCATCGTCGCCCCCCTAAAGTCGACTAGATCTAGGCAGTTGGTTCCAAATCCAAACACAGTTGGCAAAATCTATTTGGGTAGGTTGGTAGGGTTTACCTACTCTACCAACCTACTAATCACAATAAAATTAAACCATACATATTAGAAATTGTAATTTACAATATTATAATTTTTAACCTATTGTAACCTCCTATAATTGTTACCGTAAATAAAATTGTATTTTTTAGGTTTAACCTAGTAGCTTAAATTTGGATTTTATTTTGATTTTTTTTGATTTACCTACCTAGTAGGTTCCATTTTTTATATTTATAGCGTATACTTTTTATACTAGAGGGCCCAAGAGGACAAATGGACCAAAAGTCATTCTTCATAAAAAGTTCTGCTTGTTTTTAAAAGTCTATTACTATACTTTTTGAACATTTTATACGGGGGGTCGAAAAACAAGAAAACATGAAATACTCACAGGAATAAACTACCTTTATTTTTCGTTTTGGAGCAAAATGACAAATAATATTATTAGGATATCCTATCCAAAGACGAATTGTAAAATTTCAACTCAGTATTCCAAATTTTCTTTTTCTTATAAAGTTTTAAAATTTAATTTTCAATTTATACTTTTGTACCTCATCTTACGTATCCTTTACCTATGTATAGGGTTCTTAACCCGGACATTTTGTGTAAATTTACATTAATTACCAAAATGAACAATGATAGAATGCAAATTGTCAATTTGACGTTACTTGATTATTGTTGATTGTGTCATTTTTGTAAATATGAAATTAAATTTTAAAACTAAGAAAAATAAAATTTAAATTTCCAATTGGAATAATATTCCAAGTTTTATTTTTCCGAATACCAAGTTAAAATTTTACAAATGGTCTTTGGATACAATTTGATTTTTTTTTTATTTGTCATTTTGCTCCAAAACGAAAAATAAAGGTAGTTTACTCCATCTGAGAATATTTCATTTTTTCTTGTTTTTTGACCCCCCTGTATAATATTTTCAAATTTAATGTATGGCAATAAACTTTTTTAAACAAGCAGAACTTTTTATAAGGAATGACTTTTCGTCGAAAAATGAAAATTTTATCCATTTGTCCTCTTGGGCCCTCTATCCATGGACATACTGTATAAAAAAATAAGTTGGTTTTTTATCGTCTCCACCCCCCCCCCAAAAAAGTGTGCCTCGGTACGGCTCTGATGCTACTGTAGAATGAGAACCTCTACTCTATAGATTTCTGGTCAAATTCTTGTCAAAATTCTGGCCACAGTCTGGCTCAAGTCTTGCCCAATAATCTTGGCCAAGAATCTGGAACAATTCTTGTCCGATTCTTGATAAAAAATCTGTACAAAGTATCTTGACCCATTCTGGCCCAAGTCTTTGACAAAATTGCCACTAGGGCAAGTTAACATCCAACAGC